GAGAGAGAGAGAGAGAGAGAGAGAGAGAGAGAGAGAGAGAGAAAGAGAGAGAGAGAGAGAGAGGGGGGATGAGAAATTGGGGAGGTTTGTCGGAATGTATGGACAGGTTGGCATCTGGGACATTGGGTCGGGGTCGCTGATTTGTTTTCATGAAATGGGCCTACAAGACAAGGGAAGAAATGATATAAAAGATGAGTCCGATGGTGAAAAGACTGATGATGGGCACATACTGAGATAAGATCGGAAGAGATGAGACAATGGCCCTGTGAGGTAACTGGAAGGGAGATGGTAACTATGTGATTAGTTCTATATAAGTTGAGGTCTGTGGGTAGTAAAGCTAATCGTTTGTCACTGACCGAGATGTACAATGCAGTTTCTAATCGGTAGTATCAGTTACTTATGTTCAAGAAATAGTTTGTCAAAATTGAGGTTTGCAATATTGAAACAAGCTAGAAAAGATAATTTTTGGGTGGCACAACCGTTTAAAGAGTAAAACGATTTGTTTTCTCTCTCGGCGCAAAATTGTAAATGCTTTGTTGGCATGGTGCATTTGAAAGGCTTGCATAACGTTAAATTAGTGCTATTTTTTTGTCTTAACGATAAATATGTGCCAATGGTTGGTGGAATCAGGCGCAAGTCGAAGTATTTGTAATTGAAGGAAGTGGAGTTGCTGGAGTCAGAAACAAAACTAATGAAAAATAAGTCGGTACAATGAGCATTATTTAGGACAAAATTCAAAATTCCTATCAGAAAGAAAAATGTTTTCTTCTGTGTCCCTTGCGTTCATATGACTTTATGCACTTGCAAGCGCCGTAAAACACTTACCTTGAACTTTGCCAAAGTCGAACTGTATTTCTGGAGCACACCGGATAACGGCTATGCTCGCCAGGAAAGCGAGGCACTTGCATATGTCCTGAGATGAAGACATTTTTACAGAATGTCCCAGAGCCAAACAGCCCAAAAGTGTCTATACTGTTCAGTGTATTTCCTTTTTCTGGCTGGAACGGGTGGACAGGGTCAAAGGTCAAAAAGCCTGACCTTTCTTACGTGACGCGAGACTGCCGGTGGTCACACTTGACCAGCTCTTAGTTCTGAAGTACCATATTATTATGGTCTTGTAGACAACCCTTGTCATTCCCGCCTTCCAGCCTTCCTTCCCTCCACCCACCACCCAACACACATAATCTCTCTCTCTCTCTCTCTCTCTCTCTCTCTCTCTCTCTCTC